GGAATTAGGTTTATCTCTAAGGCTTTTTTTTTTTCTGACTTGACATTCTGCGAACTAATAAGGTATAGAAACATGTATTACTGAGGGCAGCAACATGTCTTTCTACCCATATTCCCTTGTCAGCACGATACCAGATGCAAAATAGACAATTGAGCAGTGCTTATGGAAATAAGCTAGGTAAATATCTAACATCATGTAATCCTGCTGTAACCATCTCCCCATTACTATCTAGCAGCGTGCTTCTCAAATCTGAATTCATAATTCCAAGGATTTGAGGACTCCAGTGAGAAACAGTGATTTGGATCAGTTTTGGGATGGCTGCTCTTTGATAATGTCCTTGACAAGCACTCATTGAACACTACTCCACACCACGTCCTAGGTGGGCTGCAGGGATCCAGTGATGGGAAAGGCCAATCCACCTAGTAAGGAGCCCGTGGCCTGTAGCTGATGTGAAAGTGACAATCCCAGAGCGCTGGGGTGGGTCAATGGTAAAGGAAATGAATGGGGCTTAGGGGGCTCTCAGGAGGGCTGTCTAAACGAGAGCTGGGCAGGCAGAGGGTGAGATGCAGCTTCGAGTGTTACTCTCAGGAGCTTTAAATATAGACTTCAGCCAAACCTCAGCAATGGTGGAATGCCATTCTGAATCAGTAAAAAGGAACTAATTATAGGATATCCACCCCTTCCTCCTCCCCAGTTAGCTGTATTCTCTTCTGAAAATATACCATCATCCACCATATTTCTCATAAAGGATTGGAATTGTCTATTACCCACTACACTGAGCTCAGTGAATATTTGTTGAACTGAAATAAATCAAATTCCTATGTAAATTAATTTGCTAGGGCTGCTGTAAGAAAGTACTATAAATTGGGTGGCTTAAAACAACATAATTCTATTGTCCTTCCTTTCTGAAGGCTAGAAGTCCAAAATCAAGGTATTGGCAGGGCCATGCTCCCTCTAAGATTCTGCGTAGAATCCTTCCCCACTTCTTCCTGGCTTCTGATGGTTTGCCAGCAATCTTCAGTGTTCTTTGGCTTGTAGACGCGTCACTCCATTGTTTCTCCTCCACATGGTGTTCTCCCTGTGTCTTCACATCACTGTCCCTCTGTGCGTGTCTCTGTGTCCAAATTTCTCCTTATTATAAGGACATTAGTCATTTGGATTAGGACCCACCCTTAATGACCTCATCTTAACTTGGTCATATCTGCAAACACCCTATTTTCAAATAAGATTATATTCTGAGTACTGGGTGTTAAGACTCTAGCATGTCTTATTTTAGAGGGAAACAGTTCAACTCGTAACACCAGGCTAGGGAGCTGGGGGGTTTATGGGATTGGCAAGATGGCTGGCACTGCAGGGGGCTGCAATGGACATGCACAAGGCTGGGGGCTTCTTGGGGTCCTCACCTGAGCAGGGAAGGAGATGGGAAGACAGTCTTTAACCAGAGGGTCAGCCCAACCCTCTGAGGCTCTGCTGTAGATCTTCAGCTTCTAATCCTACCAGAACATTGCTTCATCATTTCTGAGCTCCAGCCTGTTAAACAGGACCCTGACGTCTTCCCAAAGGGCTCAAGCCTGTTCCTGCTTTCTAGGCTCTACTCCATACCTGAAACCCTGAGGCAGCTACTGTCTCACTTCCAGCATTGGCCCTAGACTGCCTCTTTAGCCATCTGGATCCATTCAAATCAAGTCTGAGTTCACTTTGCTCCTTATAGCAGTAGACATAGCTATATGGTTCAGCCCCTCACAGATACATCTCCTTTAGACACGTCATCTCTGGTCCTCATGACAGGCCCACTGTGTAGGTTGCACCGGGGCAGTGGATGGCATCTCCTTGGCACAGGAGAAAGAACAGAAGCCCGGAGGGTTTATACTGACTCGTACAAGGTCGCACAGCTGGTAGGTGGTGTAGTAGGGGGTTGCAGCCTGCTGTATCTGACTCCACAGTCTTTATCTTCCATCTCCCTGCTCCCCCTCAGCCAAAGCACTGTGGGGGCAGCTCTAGGAAGGTTTTGCTCCCTGTTCATATTGATATCAGAATAAATCATCCTCTTAAGTGACCATTGCCTCCCTTGAATCCTTCTGTCCTCTTGCCAGAAGACAGGGGTGTTTGAGACAGAGACAACCCAGGTCTTGGAACACTGGTTCCTCTGTTCTACTCCATGCGGCTCTCTGGGCTTTGAGCCGTGTGCTGCCTGTGTAGGGGCTCTGGGATGCTCATGTTCTCCACAGAGTGCACTGGCCTTCAAGACTGTGGAGGATTCATCACTTTTCAAAGTAGCTGGAAGAGTGACCTTCAGAGGCCCCCTAGAGTTAGCTTTCCATTGCCTTCCATGGGTCCTCATCATGAATGGTGTTCCGAGAGTGTCCAGCACCATTCGACCAAAGATGAACCAGCACAGCGAGCTTGACAGACACATTTTCTGTCTGAGAGCTCATTAGTGGGCAAAGTCCAAAGGGGGTCACTTTGGCGCCTCTGGTTCACGTTACTCTCTCTGACTCCTCACCATAGCCCCTCAGAGGCTGTGGGCTGGAGGGTATACACCACGCCGGCTGTTTGTGTCAGCCAAGCCGCAGAAGGGAACCACACGGCCCTGAGACCAACCTTGGCCAACCACAGGGGCCAGCTCTCAGGAGGGGCTGCCGGGACAGCAGGATTTGGGTTTCTGCTTTCTCACAGGAAGACCCTATTGAGCGCCCCAGGGCCTTGCCGAGCAGGGGTGACTCAGCTTCCTTTGTGCACCACGCGGTCTCGCTGAAGGGCCGGGACCCCTGATAACGCAGGGTTCCTTAGCCTGCGCCTTCCCGCTGCACTTCCTGCTCTAGAAAACCTCCAGTAATTACTCAAGTCTCTGTTTACCCGAAGACTTGTTGAAAAAACAAGTTTGCTCTTCAGATTTCTATAGCATTTAACACTTTACTAAAACATTTCCTCACCGTTGTTTCATGCCGTGTTCACACCAACTCTATGAGACAGCAGAATGCTATCGCTGTCACTATTACACTTATTAGGAGAGTGAGACCCGGCCAGCCAAGGGGATTGCCCGAGGCCACATGGCTTGTTGGTGGAGGGTTGGTGCTTAAGCCCAGGATCCTAGAGTACTCATTCAGGTGCTTATTATATTTTCTTGAGTGGCCCTCAGCATACAGCTCTTGCCATGTGCTCACTACATGTTCCAAAAATGTTTGTTGCTTGAGTGACTGATTATAATTTTCTTTCATTGTGAGAAGGGTCCTTAGGGCTCTAAGCAAGTTGCTGTGGTGGAGTGGGAAGGACAGAAGCTTTGGAAAGAGAATTCAGCTTCAAGTTACACTAAGAGCCATGTTAGCTGTGTGATTTCAGGCAAGGTGTAAGATCTCTGAGCTGCAGTTTCCTCTGAACACAGAGGATAATAATGCCGATGTTCAGGGCAGTAATAAGATTCAAGTGAGATAATATGGATGGAGGGAGAGCATAGTACTTACTCCATAGAAGGTGTCCAACAATTTAAGTTTCTTTCCATTGCCTCATACTCATGCTCAGCTTCAGAAACTCATTAAAGTTAAACACACATTGCAGATATTTTCTTTATACCTGGAGCAATGCCTTTGCTTAGTAATCTCTGAAAAATTAAAGACATAAATCTACAAAGTAGATAAAGTCTGGTCCTGGCTCATTTAGTCACTATAATCAAGAAATGAGCTATAGCACATTTGTGAATTTCCCAGTCCAGCCCTCCAAGGTCCAAGTACCACAATTTTGCATCCTTCCTTTAGATCTATTTTAGATGGATAGCATGTCTAGCCTTGTTACCAGAGTTGAGCAACCCTCTGCTGCTGCAATTCTCTCTCTGCATTTCTCACTCCTCACTGGACCATCTGACTTTCATTGCCTCTGGCTCTGGCTCACCTGCCAGAGGCCACAGAGATGCTCACCAAAGCGAGGAAGTAGTGGTGGTTCTGAGTAATCTCAGACTCAGAAATAACACTTACATTTTGAGGAAACGCATTAGCAGTCAAGATGCTCTTTCTTAAAAAATGCCCTTTCTTTATTTTACCGACCAGATGTTTTCTGTGGGTTAATTTTTCTTTGAAGTTGACTATATATCTAGGAGGGTGTAAGCATACAGTGTTGTACCTTAGATGTCAAGTTTCTCACAGTCGGGAACTGTGTTATAGTCATTACTATTTACCCAGGGTCGGATTCACATTAGATTCTCCGTGAATGGTTCTTGAGTGAGAAAGATTCACGCACTCAGTTATTCATTTAACAAAAATATACTGTGAACAAACCAGAGGAGTCATAGAGATGGATGAGATGGTAAACTGCTGAAAGGGGCTTCGGCAGGCACGTTAGTCAAACAGAACAGTCTGAGAGGTGAACAGGACTTACCACGGAGGACAGTCTGGGTCAGGCCAGACAAGGCGCTCAGGCCAAGGGAAACAAGTAGGGTGCAAATGGCTCCAGGGACACTGTGCGGGGGACGGCTGTGAATGGATCCAGTGAGTCTCCTCACTGGGTGCTGACTGTGTGATATTAGAGACGGACCTGTCACTTTGAACAGCCCAAAGCCAAATGAAGTTGGAGAAACTGCCACCGTGGAGAGGCTGGCAAAGTGCTGCGGGAGAGCGGAGGCTGGCGGGTGTGGGCGGTTCTGGGCCATCAAGACAGATCCCTCAGGGCCAACACAATCCCACTTTCACATCCAGGAAAAGGGCTGCCGTGATCAGCATCGCCGAGGACTAGCGGATACTATGATTCCACCTGCTCGTGGGGACCTTCAATGGGACGCGGCCACTGCCGGGCTGAGCCCGAAGGATGCGAGTACTCTGGGGAGGAGATGTTTACTTTGTTGTTCAGTGCCCTCCCCCAGGGCCTCCTTCACTATGTCTTGATAAAGAGGATTTAAATAATTCAAAATTATTGCATCTTTTCTTTGCAGAATGATATTGTGATGGGAAGTGGGGGAATGTGTTAAAGTCCCACCCATGATTTACATAGCTGTTTACTCTTCATTCGTTCAGTACATTTGATTGAGCATCTGTCTTGTGCTGGTTTTGAGCTGGGCCTGGAGTTCAAAGGTGGGCAAAAGCCCGTCCCTGCCCTTTAAGGATCTCCCAGTCTAGCAGAAGAAAATGGCTCGTCTGTAAAGACAACTCCCTGTGGTGAGTATAGAAGCAGAGAGAAATAAAAGAGGGCAGAGGAGGGGGTAACTATTTATGCTTTTGACTGTCAGGGAGGGGTCACAGAAGATGTGCTGGGTTTTACGGGATGAATAGGAGTTTTCTGGTTGAGAAGGAGAAAGTAGCATTTTAGGTTGTGAAAATGGTGAATAATTGCATGAGGGCAGGCAAATCCGTGGTTTGGGAAATAATGATTAGACAAGTGTAGCTGGAGCAGTGCTGCCAGGTAAAATACAGGCAGCCCAGTCAGATGTGAATTTCAGATAGACAATGAATACTTTTTAGCATGCGCATGTCCAAAATATTGCATGAGACATGCTTCTACTACAAACAGTATTTCTTGCTTATCCAAGATTCAAATTTAACTGGGAATCTTGTGTTTTTATTTTCTAAATCTGGCAACCATAGACTAGAGTACAAAGCAGAGAGACCATATTATGTAGGTCTCTGAAAGTCATGCTGGAAAGTTTCAACTTTAATCTTCTGGGGTGGTCTTGGAAGGTTTTTAAACCCAGAAGTGATATAATTAGATTTCTGTTTTAGAAATATTACTCCGGCTACATGGAGGATGATTTACAAAGGGGGAAACTGGAATCAAGGGCATTAATTTAAAAAGAGAAGAAAGGGGATCTGAACCAGGGCAAAACTGAGGGATCCTCAGGCAACAGACTCGTTTATCGTGGAGATAGAAGCCACAGGACCCTCTGAGCAGGGGAACAGAATGGGTGAGCGTGTGTGCTGGTAATCCTTTCTAATTATGGGCACACTATCTTTGTCCTTGAAAGCCCATGATCTTCTGTACCTTCACTCCCAACAGACTTGGACTAGACGATTCTCTGGGAACCAGAATTCTTTACATTAACCGCATGGCTCAGCTCTTCATGTCTTTAAAACATATACTCTGGCTAAACTCTGAGCCGGATAATCAAGTCTTGATTAAGTGGCCAAGTCCTTGCTGGATACAGGTGGAAACACTTGGCGCCATAACTTTAGAAGGGTCTATAAAAGAGAATGTCTTCCATACTTTCTTAGGAGAGATTTCTTTTTCTAAAGAAAGTGTATACTTTGGGACGAGAGGGACACTGTTTATTTCTAAGATTAAATACACCTCCAACATTCATATATTTGGATTCTTTAGATTTGTCACAGAGGATTCACGGAATCGTGTTAGAAGAAATCACTCTCCTGTTACGCGTGGGGAGCTGTGGCCCAGAGAAGAGACGCGACCTGCTCAGGGTGGCAGAACTTGGACAAGGTGGAAGATTCATGCCTCCTGGTTGAAGTGCAATGTGAATTGCACAATTCTTAGGCTTTCTCTAAACATTCGGAGTTTGGAAACATAGTAGCGTTCTTTTTCTCTATAACCACCAAATTACAAAGAATTTCTCCTTGAGATTTTTCAGTTTGAAGGTAAGTATTAATACAAGTTTTTTTTAAGGGATTTCATGGAATCGTGTCATTTAAGAGTAACCGCATCTTTACTCCTATTGACAGCCCTTTTGAAACAGATGCGCACAGGCTAATTGCTGAAGGTTTTCAAAGTTTTGGAACTTGGAAAAAGAAAAGTTTGTATGAATAGGAAATAGCAGTTATTTGTTAAGTGCATTTGCAGTTGCATGATTCTGACATTTTGGCAAAGGCAAGCTTTCCTTGCAATAGATCCACATTCAGCGCCAAGTTGTGTTGAAAAAGAATAAAGTGAAAGTACTCGATTTACATTTCCAGGATGCAGTGTCTTTCCCCCTTAGGGATCTTAGGAATGCTGTCTGGGACCCCCACCTGGCCTACTTTTGCTTCATTAATTCCAGGAAGACCTTTGCTGGGGACTCTGAAAGAGAGAAACAGAGCTGTCGGCGATCCAGAGTAACCGAGTGCCTGGGCCCGGGGCTGGGGTCTCAGGAGGAACCGTGTTAAATGACCTACAAGTTTCATCTCGGAAACCTCTGAACTTCCTTACAACACTTAGGAGAGAGGACTAAAACATGTCGTAAGTTATTTTGTTCTAAAACTTCCTTTCTTTATATTTTCCTAACTTCTATAAAAGTAACTTTGACATGACAGTCATTTGTGAAAATATAAGTCAATGAAATGGAATTTATAAACTTTATGTGAAGCAAATGTTTGGATGATCTTGTTTCAGTGAAGATGCTGTGCCTTTTGCTTTTCAGGAATCAGGAGACCCTGCTCTGTTCTGGATTTAAATGCACTGCGCTCTGAGATTGACTTTTGAAGCAGCAGAAATTGGAGGAAAAGGGAAGCAAAGCAGTGACAGGGGAGGGATAAGTGGAGTGACACAGTGGAACACTCACTGGCTTTGTGTCAGAGAGACCTGAATTCCAATCCTGCTTCTGGGGTTACTAGCTGTGTGATGTTGGGTAATTTACTTAACCTCTCTGAACCTCAGTTTCTTTACCAATAGAATCAATATGCTTATACCTACTAATTTGCTTTTTGGGATGAGTAATGGGATAATGTATGTAGCTTTGCCTGGTGCAGAGGAAGCCATTGGTAAATAGTTATGGAATGAATGATTGATAACTTGAAAACATTATTATTTCTGACTTGTCTGTGGATCACTCCCCAATTTTCAGTGTACTTTGGGAATCTATAGTTACCTAAGATAGTTTCATTCCACTGTGGCCTCCTAGGCCTCATGTTTCAAGCAATCAACTTCATCTTCTTTACCTGTGCTGGCCCTTATCATGGGAGTTGAGAGTGATGTCCTCTCCCTCCCTCTTTGATTTCTCCCTTCCTTACTTCCCTCATTCACTTGAGAATATATATTAACGTTCTATTATAGTCCAGACACTGGGTTAGAAGTAAAGGTTATGAGGTCAGGAAGAATTAGTCTTGGCCCCTGAGAAGGTCACAGTCTTGTGGAAGAGACACAAAAGAGGGAGCCACGAACTCTGTCTGGGTCGGGGGAGGTGGGAGAGGAAGCACGAGGCAGGTGAGCTTTCCTACAGGGAGGGCATCTTCCCGAACACTGGGAGGAGTTACGCAGAGAGTCATGGTGGCGCCCCTCCAGGAAGAGGGAGCCGTAAGTGCTGACTGACCACAGAGGCCCGAGAGACGCCAGAGTGCTCCGGGACCAGAGAGGAGTGGGGAGGGTGGGTGCAGTGGGGGCACGGGGAGGTGAGAGCTCAGGGGTCAGTGGGGACTGGACAGCCACAGACCTCATATGCCTTACAAGGCGTTTGGACTTCACCCTGCTGGCGACAGGGCGGGAGACAGGGGTGTGAAATTGGCCAAAGGCATGTGATAGAAGCTGCCGGGGAAGAGATTCGAGAGGGCAGTGGGATCAGGGAGATGGATCAAGACCTCCTTTAAAATCTGGCTGAGTGATAAGGAGAATTTAGAGACAGTACAGGTGGAAAAGAAGGGATGGAATTCAAGAGATGGTTGGGAACAGCTCCAACAGGCAATGGCGGGGAGTGGGCATTGGGGATGAGGAAGGGTGTGGGGCCTTCCCAAGTCAGGATGGGAAAGCTGGGGGGCCACCTTTTCTAATTTCCTCTAAAGCAGAGGCTTCTCTCTGTGTGGAAATGATTGTCATACCCCACGAATGACCTGGGAACTGCCCGATTTCACAACTGGGCATTCCAGGCTCTCTATAAACATGTGTTGAATGAACGGATGCTGGAAATGACATTCCTGCAGGAAGCCAAAATGAGTGCTGTCAGGCTATTTTGAGCCGGTCTTATGGCTCATCACCCTCCCAGTTGTATCCTTTGTAACCATCGCATCCTTTGTCCCTCCAAATCGTCCTTAGCGTTTCCTCCTGGGGCTTCTGTGCCCTGACCACAAGCTAAGAGGAGGTGAACGTGGCAGGGTAGCTCTCTGCTCCCCTCCCACCAGCATCTCTCATCTGCAGCAGGCCTCGGTCTGTGTTCTCGTTATCTCGGTGTGGAATCCTGGCTGCCTGAGTCCTGCATCAACTCAGCAGGCTGGCTGGGACCCCAGGCCAGTACGGATTGGAAAGTGCGAGTCCTCCTTGCTCAGTAGGACTGATCTGAAGCTCCTTTCCTAGGCAGACCCAGGCCCAGCGTATAGGCCTGTGGCCCATTTATCTCCGAGTCCACGGGAGGGGCCATATCAGGATTTCAAGTCCAAGTTGGATTCTTCAGTTTCACAGCTAAATGCACACACCATCAGCAACTCAACAATTACTCTGCAATTAATGGTTTAAAATTCATACACTCCAGTCTCTCCCCAGCAACATCGCACGGTGCTGTGTCATAGAGGGGAAATCTGGCTTGAAATTCCAGGTCTGTCGCATCTTATTGTTGGTGAGGCCTTGCATAGGTGTCTCACAATCTCTCTACCTCAGTAATCAAGTGAACAGCACAGAGGAGGTGTGAATATCACACAGATGTCATGTTATGTGCGTTTCACAGTGTCCCACTTAGTCCACACTTCATGAGCAAAGAGGCATGTGTGTCGCAGTCTCCTCCAACTTCTCTGAGCTCCAGCTTCACAACAACGGCAAGCTTAATAATGCACCTTTTTATTTTATAGTCAAGTTTTTCGAGGCTTAATTTATATACAGTAAATTTCCACCTTATTAGGTGTACAGTTCTATGAGTTTTGAAAAAAATGCTGATAGTCCTGTAACCACCACCACAATCAAGACAGAGAACATTTCCATCATCCCGAAATGTCCCCTCATGCCCCTTTGGTAGTCAATACCTTCCCTGACTTGCAGCCCCTGGCAACCTGTTTTCTATCCTATCGTTTTTCTTTTTTCCGGAAAGTCACATAAGTATGAAATTTGTGAATGTCATGAAATTACGCAGTGGGTAATAGCTCGAGTCTGACTTCTTTCACGTGTGTGACACGTGTGAGATTCATCCACGTTGCTGCACCTATCAGCAGCTTCTTTCTATTGCTGAGTATTATTCCATTGTGTGGATGTTTCGCAGCTGGTTTATTGTTTCACCAGTTGATGGACATTGGGTTTTTGGGGACTGAGAAAAGTTGCCGCAAATATTTGTACACAGGCTTTTGTGTGGATCAATGTTTTCATTTCTCTGGGCAGATACCTATGCGTGGGTCTTATGGTACATCTGTGCTTAGGTTTATAAGAAACTGCCAAACTATCTTTTTTTTTAACCAACCTGTCAGACTTATCACTGGGTGGGGACAGGATTCAGATCTTCGGGCCTGGGCTTCCCTCCAGGAAGGGCCTCAAATTTAAACATCAGTAATATTTCTAATTGAGGTTGTACAGTTGACACATTGACAGGATTGAATGAAGATGCTTTTTAGACGACTTTAAACTTGTATACCCTTCCTGGATCATGGTGTCTATACCACAAGTCAGTAAGCTAAGGCCTGGGTTTTTTTTTTTTTGTAAATAAAGTTTTATTGGAACACATCTATGGCCCTTGTTTACATGTTGGCAGTGGCTGCTTTGACACTGCAACACGGAGTGGAGTAGTTGTGACAGACTGTTCTGCCAAACTGTTTTTCAAAATGGCTGTGTGGTTTCAGCGATTTCACTGTTTAAAAATTAAACTTCTATTTTGAGATAATTGTAGATTTATATGCAGTTGTAATAAATAATGCAGAGAGATCCTGAGGGCCCCCGAATTCCGTACCCAGTTTTCCCTGGTGGTAACGTCTCACAGAACTACAGTACAATACCGCAACCAGGATAGTGACATTGTTACTGTCAAGGTGCAGGACATTCCCACCACCACAGGATTCCTTATGTGGCCCTTTTACAGCCACCCCCCTCCCCCCACCCCAGCCCTTCCTTAACTTCTGGCAACCAGTAATCAGTTGTCCATTTCTATAATTTTGTTACTTCAAGGCTGTTACATAAATGGAATCATGCAGAGTGTAACCTTTTACGGATTGGGTTTTTTCGCTGGCCATCGTTCTCTGGAGACTCATTCAGGTTGTTACATACACCAGTAGTTGGTTCCATTTTATTTCTGAATAGTAATCCATGGCCTGAGTGCCACAGGCCACAGTTTAACCATTCATCAGTTGAAGGACGTCAGAGTTGTTTCCAGTTTTAGGCTATTACGAATAAAGTTGCCATAAACATTCGTGTACTGGCTTTGTGTGAACACAAGCATTTATTCTCCGGGGTAAACATCCGGGATGCAATTGACAGGTCATGTGATAGTTGCCTGTTTAGCCTTGTAGGAAACTGTAAATGATTTTCCAGCCTGGCTGCACCATTTTCTATTCCCACCAGCAATATGAATGATTCAGTTTCTCCACATCCTCCCCAGCTTTTTATTTCTCCAGTTTCTCATGGAGATTTACTTTCCCCAAAGGGATCGACAATACGCCCTCGAATTTGTCATTTCTACCATTTAAAACTATTATTTCTGTGATGCTCTCCATTATGTAGCTCAGTGTCCCTTTAGGTAAAGTGTTGTCAGAAGTCAGACCAAACAAGGATAAAAGTTTGGGTTCTCTGTAAACTAGGGTGTTTGATTTGACACCCAGAGCTGTAAAGGGCACTCTATTTCCCTTTTCAACTTGGCTGCTGGGAAGTTCAGTATCAAGTATTACATTAATTGTCAGTGTCTCCCATTAGCCCCCTGTCATTGCTTGTTCATGTCCTTTTTATTATGTTTGCTATAAATAATTCATTTGCCTAAGCTGTTTTGGGCATCCCTTCTCCATACTTTCATAGATACTTAACTTAGTCTAGCACTGTGTCTATCAGAGTGAATTATAACCATGCTCCTGGATCTGTCTCCCCCATCGTATGAGAAACTCCTTCAGAATAATGCCCCACTCACTGCCCTATCCCCCAAAGATGACTTACAAGTATTTATTTATTCATTCGTTAGATATTTAAGGAGCACTTGCATGGATTTTATATGGGTTTAGCCTCAGGAAAAGCATAGTGTGGAAGGGAGAGTTAAGTTATGAATCTGAATAACTACAAAACCAGGCAAAGTGTGACGAGTAGTTTAAAGGAATGAAGATGCTTAAGGAGTTCAGAGATGGGAGAGATTGTGTCTACGGCAGAGATATGGAAGGTTTATTTTAATAGTGTTATGACTTTTTAAAAATTAACATCTTCCGCATCAGCTATTTACATCCTTTCAGGGGTTCGATGGAGTTGTATAAACTGCTGTTACTGATAAGGGAAGGGCCACAGGGAAAGAAGTGTGTGGGTTATTTGGGGAACCTGGTGCTGGGGTTCTGCCTGCTAGTGATGGTAAAGCTGAGGACATGATCAGAAGGGAGGGCAGCTGGGGAGAGGAAGAGCATCGCCCATCTCAGGAGAAACCAACTCCAGTTGAATACTAAAAGGACTAGGATCTCGAGAGAAATAAACGCGCGTGTTATCCGTCTGAGACTACTCTGAGGGACCCAGCATTTCTAGAAATTCCAGGAGTTGAAATAGGGAGGGGGTTAATGCCTCTGGGGCAAAACAATGAGTGTGCGGAGAGCTGCCTGCCTCTCTGGTGTCCTGAGACATGAGGAGACCCAGACTCCTGGGGTCTGCTGGACCCCGAAGTCTCTGCTCTTTCTTGTTCCACAGGCCTCTCAAGAACAATGAAGGCAACACATCAGCGACCTCAGAGAAGTCCAGGGGACCCCAACCCTACACAACTGGTATCTGAGGCTGATTCAGTTGTTGGCATTGTTACTTTTTACAGCTAAACCCCTAAACCAAACAAATGCAGAAGTGAAAGGAGGGCCTTCTTGTGGAGCAAAGGGGTTCAGAGTTCTGGTCAAAACAAAACCATTCTCATGACAGAGCTGATCGTGACTGCTTTCTCGTGGAATCTTCTGGGCCAGTGACTTCCAAAGAGATCGCTACCTGTTGGCCAGGCTGGATTCTACACTGGGACACTTATGAGCACCTTGCCCAGTGTTCATTGAGTTATGAGCAACGGGAGCAGGTCCTCTCTGACTACCATAAAGACTAGCTGTGCCTCTCCTGAGCATTTCTTTCATCTTTTGGGTTCTCTGGTCATATGTCCCTCTTGGCAGTGACTGCTAGGAATTCAGAGTTGAATTTGTGACCCAAACCTTGTAAATATACAACATTGTACGACATAGTTTAACAGACAATGATGCTTCAAGTACTGCCTTGATTTTCTTGTCTTGATTTCCTTCCTTCCTTCCTTTTTAATCTGTTTATACTGTTTTTCTTAAGACCTTTGAGTCCCAATTTTACAGGTAAGGATCCTGAGGCACAGAGAAGTCCCACAGCAAGTAAGAGACGGAGCCAGGATTTGAATCTAGGAAGAATAGTTTGTCTTGAAGAAACTTGCATTACCATCTAAATATTACTATGATAAAATCCCTGAAAAAGCACCAAAATATAACACAAATTTGGCCTCACTTACCCCTAATTTGTCATTTAACATGTATGTGGCCTTGTGCAAATTCCTTTAGGTCATTTGAAAATGGAGTTGATAGCATCCATCTCCAGGGTTGATCTGAGGAGTAAATTAGATAATCTGGGTTAAATCTGGTATGTGAGAGAGCTGCAGGACCAACTGACACCAATTAAGTGGTGGCAAAGAGAGCTCTGGACAAAGGGGACCAGGATCCAGCTCCAGCTCCAGTTCCTGTCGATAAAATGGAGTGTGATCTTGTCACAAGCTCAGATAAGATCAGAGATGTGAAAATGCTGTGTAAATGACCAATGGCTGAACGATGTCAAAGGTCATCGATCTAATGAGGAAGTTGGACCTGCTACCTCCAAAGTGCCTTCCAGGCAGGTGACAGGGGATGAGTGCTAACACTGATTTTCGTCAGTATTTTTGAAAACTGAGGCTAAGTTGTTACAGGTAAAAGGGAATGGCTCTCGTGGTTGTTGGAATTCATCTTGGCCAGGATTCTATGAGGATTCATTCTTCATTCAGGTCTTATTTGGATAAAGGTTTTTTTCTTTTTGCCTTTGAATGTCTTGCAGGCATCTCAAACGCAACATATCTAAACATGACTTTATTTTATTTCACCTCAAATCTTATCCTTCTCGAGAGTTTTCTTTCGGTTAATGGCATCACCATCTACCATGTTGCCCAGAGAGAAATCTAGAGTGATTATCTGATTCAGCCTTCTGCCTTACCTCGATCCCCCAGCACGAGCACACTCGGCTATCAGTTCTGCTGACCTGCCTCAAAGCTTTTCCTGCAACATGTCCCCATTTCTCCATCCCCTCTGCCAACAGTGCCACAACAGGAACCAGTTTCTAAAGCTTCATTCGTCATCCTAAAAAAATGGTTTCTGTTGTCATCATCATCATCATTATGATCACACCCAATATTTATTAAGCACATTTTATACCAGCACATTTATATGTATATATGTGTTTGAATATATATATATATATATATATATATTTCATTTAGTTTACAGAATACCTACATAGAACTTACTATGTGACAAACACTATTTAAGGACATTATATGCATTAATTCATTTAATCCTCACAACAACCCAGTGAGGTAGGTGGTATTATTATCTTCATTTTACAGATGAGGAAACTGAGGCAGAGAGGTTAGCTAACCTGCCCAAGTTTAGACAGCTAGAAACTGGCAGAGCTCAAATTTGAACCTAAGAATTATGGCTTCAGAGTCTGTCCTCCAGTACACGTTGAATAGTCATAATAGCTACTATCCTAAGTCAGGCACCTTACATAGCTTTATAGGAAATATAACAACTCTGAGAGGCAGGGATTATTAGCTGCCTTTCACAAGTAAAGACACAAAGGTAAGGACCTTAAGGAGAGAGCCCAATTCACACCACCAGGAAGTGAGAGCAGAGGCAAGCCGCCGCACTTGTCCGGCAGCGTGAGGATGACAATGCCACAGCGGACTGTGGGTGCAGGGCGCTGCTCTGTTTCAGTTACTGGATTTGACTCCTGTATATTTTATTCTGAAAAGCAAAAACAAGCTCACAGAATTCTAGAATTCACAGATCAGAGAATTCAGAGATGAGAGGGACCCACAGGGGCCTCTTGTCGAGGATCTTCTTACACAGATGATCCTTAGTTGGAGAGACTCTCCCGAAGACCCACATTCAGAGAACGTTAAAGTCAGTCCTGATTCCCATGTCTTCCAGAGTTAAACCCAAAAGGCATAATGGGGCTTTTCTCCTTTTTCATGGCAAAATCCAAAGACATGAAAGAATAAAGAGATATATACCATAGCTGTAACCAGCTATCCTTCTCTCTCCTTTCTCTCTCTCTCTCCCCTCTTCATTTGTTTAGCTGAAAAATTTCTATAATCAGTTACAAATTCTCACATCACCTCTGCTTTCTTATCAGGTTTTTGCAGTTGGGAGATAAAGACCCACAGTATCTTCAGATCAAGCAGGCAGTTGAAGTGATGAATCTTTCCTTCCTGATTTAAGCTGAAACCACAGGTGGGCCCCACGTTATAACCAGTGATGGGAAACGGGAAAACCAGAGTGGAAAATGGCAGTGTCACAGAGATGATGTGACCAGGCATGTGAGCCTCCCACTCAGCCTCTGTGGCTCACCCAGGCCCTCCCCCTCTGACCTACTTTCTCTGGCCAAAAGAAGAGATGTTACCCAGAGATGTTATACAGCAGGACCGGATGGCATCTAGTCTGTTCCTACCAGATAAGCATTCCCAAGCCTGCCTCTGTCAGTCACTATTTGGGAGGCCAAGGTGCTGCCGTAATCCATTGAAGCAATAGCTTACTATTAGCTGTGGAATGCCTGTGCTTTGTCTGTCCCCTGCATACATAGCTCAGGGTTTCTTGGTCTGAGTTGAAAGGCTGACATTCATGGCGAGGAATAGGAAATTTTTCATCACTAGTCTATATCCCACAGGCATTCTGCCCAGGGACCACTGAGGAGGGTGAGAAGAATGATAATAAGGGAAGCCAAGACTTCATTCTTACAATCTACGAACACTGCTGGTGGCTACAGAGAAAACAATCTGAAGTGTGTTTTTATTAATCCTCTGCCCAGTGCATTTGGGATGAGGATATAGATGCTAAAATTCAAGCCAGACTCATCTGGTTTCCTTTGGAAACTGCTGGATCCCGTCTTCAGAAATAAGAGAGCACCAGTTTCTTTGTTTATTTTCCAAAGTAAAATACTAATTCATGTCAATGAATCATTGAACTAGGTCTGTTAGACAACTTCTCATTTTCTTAATGATTCCCATTTTCTGGAAACCCAAGACCATGCTTCTAAAGGTGTTAGTCATCCAGATTTTTTCATGTGTTTTTGATGTGGGATCCATCCTGCTTGTAATCCTCTTAATGGTTCTTATTCTCTCTTGTTTCTCTGTCATTGAAACTTCTTTTCCTTTTTCACCTGACCAATTCTTACTAATCTTTCAAGATGCACCGCAAGTTTTTTTAAACCTTCCAACTCCAAGATTATTTTTCAAATGGGAAAATTTATTTTCTCATAGGAGTTGGCAGAGTTTCCATTCTTTGGTGAAATAAGAAGCCTGAACTGAATTTTTAAAATTGATGTATAAAGAGAAATTACCTCAAGTAGAGCTCGGTGAAATTTTATACACATCTGTGTAACCACCAAGCAGATTGAAATGGAGAGTATTTCTAAGCCCCATGAAGGTTCTTTTCTGCCCCTTGATCATCAATACCCCACCCGTGACATAACCACCAATTAGATTTTCCTATGTGTGAACTTCTTATAAATGCAATATGCACTTTGGATTCTTTTGTTCAAAATGGTGTTTTTTAGATTCATCCGTGTTATATCAGTGGCTGGTTATTTTTTTATTACTATGTAGTTGTCCATTATTTGACTGTATCACGATTTATGTGTCCATTCTTCTGCCGGTAATTGTTTGTTTCAAGCTTTTGGCAATTGTGAATGAACCTGCTATAAATAATATTGTTCATAATTTTTGAAGGACAATTGTACTCATTGCTCTTGGGGATAAAGCTGTAGGTGGCATTGGCAATTTATAGGGTAGGTCTATGTTTAGGGTTAGTAGATACAACCAAGCAGATATCCAATGTGTTTCCATGAATGTCAATATTTGAGTTGCACTACATCCTCTCCAAAAGCTAGTACTACAGTATTTTTCATTAATTTTAGTTTATTTTCTTAGATGAGTGTTGGTATCTTTCCATTTGCCTGTTAGAAACTTAAGCATCCGATTTTGCAAAGTGCCTGTTCAAATCTCTTGTCCTTTTTACAAATAGAATTATTTGATTTTTTTCTTACTGGGCAAATTGTTTGAATAGACATTCCACCAAAGAAGTTATGCGGGCCCATAAACTCATGAAACGACACTCTTTTCTTTAATCAACCTCAAGAAACAAATGAAGATATGTCTTGAATAAATCTTTGCCCCTGATTGCCGTGGTCTTGTTCTCTATTACTAGCATGATTATGGAAATCCTTTTTGAGCTGGAGCCACAGCCGGAAAATAGGTGGGCATGAGCAGCTCTCAACCCCATTCCCAGCTGACACTGTTCTGAGCTACCAAAATGGCACCTTCTCTTCAGCCTACTTGTGGGTTTCTGGGTATTTGGAACTGTTACAAATTAGGATGTAAAAGTGCCATTTTCAGGGTGATGGGTTCTTCTTTTCTCCATTCTTACTTACAGAGGTTTCTTGTATAATTCGGCAGAGAAAATATTATTATTTTAACAGCTGACACTCGCATTCCTTTGTTTGAAAGAAATAGTTTGACAGGTGGTTGGTGTAGAGGGGTTGTTTGTTGATCAGAACTAGAATTTAAGGAGGTTTGCATGAGATCAAGGGAGGAACTCTTTGGCTCTTGAGAGTGGGCCAGATGAGCAGAAGGGAGTGCACTTTAAGATGATGACATCCACAATTGCGTTTAAAAATGCTGATGTGATAGATAGTATCACTGTTCATCTATATTTGGTGCCACTTCCTGTGGGAGGATTCTGCAGCCCCACAGTCTCAGAACTCTGGCTTGGCCACGTGACTTGCTTTGGTCAATAAATCACGAGTGAAATGGATGTGCGTCATTTTCCAAGCAAAAGCTTTAAGAGTCAGTGAGTGATCCCTTCTTCCCTGATGCCTGGCCGTGTTCCAGATAGCAAATGCTCTGTCAGCCTCCATCCACAAAGAAGAAAATGGGAACAGAGCCAGAGTCAAACCGTGATGAACATGGAGAGTGAATAGACAGTAAAACTTTATTATTGGAAGCCCCTAAGATTTGGAAGTTATCTGTTAATTTAGTCTTACCTGATTGATTCTGCTCGGTTCTGTTTTATAAATTCTTCCTCATTCTCTATGTCTCCAACCAAGCAAATCTCTAGCAAATTCCACTCTGCTCACAAGTACTTTGTATGAGTGATTTTTGCTGTTGAATCAAGGAAAGGGATGCATTTTGGTTCTGGGTTGATGCACTGCTGAAATAACACAGGTTGAGCCAGAAGGAAAAGGATGATCTAGAGAATGAGAGCAGACATGGAGTGCATAGAGATGGTAGGAAGAGCTCTGGCATATCCAGGCCATGGAAGGCGAGGTTGAATTAATTTTAACCAGATATTCAAAAAGCAAGAGACTCCCTTCTGACATTCAGGTAATCTTTTTTTCTTTTTTTTAGATTTTTTATTTTATTTTTTCCTTTTTCTCCCCAAAGCTCCCCGGTACATAGTTGTATATTCCTCCTTGTGGGTCCTTCTAGTTGCGGCATGTGGGATGCTGCCTCAGCGTGGTTTGATGAGCAGTGCCATGTCCGCGCCCAGGATTCGAACCAACGAAACACTGGGCCGCCTGCAGCCGAGCGCGCGAACTTAACCACTCGGCCACGGGGCCAGCCCCGACATTCAGGTAATCTTGATGGAACTAACCTAGGAGACAAATGTCCCAGTGCTCTTCTGCATAATCTCCGTGTCTAGTTATTGTTTCATCTTCTAGACTCAGTTTGGGAAGTTAAGGCTATAGCTTTGATTGAAGGAAGAGATCACTATGTGATAGGTTAAGGTGGGAGATGGCTGCACATGGTTAGTATAAGCCTGGGGTCTCTGGACCAAAGGATGATATTGCAGATTTATGAAATGGCTTCATACATGTTCATTTAGAGAAATGGGGGTTTACCATTTACTGAACTTTGGCTTTTTTCTCCTTAAAATCAGTTCTAACTAGTGGGAAATTCTAACCAGGTTGTGGCATGCAGTTGCCTGTCAGGCTGATTCCCTAGTGAGTTCTGCATTTTCACCCTTTTCTTCTTTTTTGCAGGCACTGGGGCCGGGGGGAGTGGGAGAGAGTGCATTAGAAGCTGCTACCAAGGCATCATTTGAACCACATTTCTGCACACACAAAAAAATTCTTTTATACTAGAAAATTGTGGGAGAAGTGCTGGATGCTTTTTTCATTTCCGTTTAGAACCACGTCCCTGAATCTCGAAGGGCTAGCAAGCTGCCTCGTGGAGGACTAGGTCTTCAAAGCCAGCAGATCTTACTCCCTGTTTAGTGGAGTAAAGCAATACTGCAGAGTGGCAATCTTTGGCAGGTGATTCTCTGAGCCTGATGGAAGGAGCAGTGATACTTTCTCACTCTGCACAATCTGGCTTTTTATTTATTTAAGGTGCAGGGGTTAATGTCACTCTGAGGGAGCACGGTGCTGACACGAGAGAGGATGTCTCAGCTGCAGCTGATGGTCGCCAAGAGGGGTTGCCATCTAGGCCACGGCTGCCTCCCCATGCCCAGGGGCTTCTCCTCTTTCTCAAAGTGTCTCTGCAGCATCGGGTGGTGCCAGCAGAGTGCCCCCTGCCGAGGATGATGCAGATGCCTGAGCATCTCTGATGACTCCCGTCAATCTTCCTCTCCCTGGCCGCTCTTCTGCGTTCCAGACTCAGATATCTAACTGCTGATTTGAATCTCCTCTTTGAAGTCTAATAAGCCTCTCACCTGACTTATTCAAAATGGGACTTGACTCCCACTGCCCTCCAACCCCAATCTGCAATCTAATTGTGTTCCTGTCTTTCCATTCTCCCTCAGGTAAATGGTGCCACCTCCACCTACCTTCTTGAGAAAAAAGCCAAGTATTATTCTTGAGTCTGTTTTCTGCATCCTCATCCACCAGAAGGATCTATTAATTATATAAAAAAAAATATCCTGAATCTACCCATAGCTTCCATTACACATAATCAAATGGCCATTGTCTCTTGCCTGGACTGCTGAACTCATATTGAAACCCATATCCTTATTTCCACTTTTGCCTCCATACAGTAGCTGGAGGGTTCGTTTAATGATTTAGAATGGGTCACTTTTCTCTTGAAGTCCCTCTCTTGGCATCCCAGTGCTCCCAGGACAAAAACAAAATTC